CATGTGACACACACAGCCACGCCCACAAGATATTACTTATATTTTTCCTGTATATACTATTTTACTTTTTGGAATCGTATTTTATTTTCTGCATTTATGACTGCAACACACACCTTTTATGAACTGATTTAGTACTATTTTATGTATAACTATTGTAAAACTTCAGATTTACAGCGCTACGATGCCTGGATACCTCATCGCCAACCAGATGTCTTATCGCTCATCACGTGACATTGGTCACACCCCCTGCATCTGCTATCCTGTCTCCACGAGAACTACGTTCGGCATTTCCTTACCTGCAGCGCTCCTAGAAGCACCAAAGTTCGATAGCCGGAACACAACCTGCGTTTTCGCAGGTTAATCGCGGCAAATAAAGCAAGTTGGAGTTGGAGCGCACACAAAAAATATTTCCTTATCGTATCATCGTTATTACTTGTGTTATATCATCTCCTGCCTTGATGTCAACACCTAAGTTGATTTAATTTTATTCCCCGCTAAATAAGTGAAGATAAATTTCATAAAACCTTTTAATTTTTGTCTTTCTACAAGCCACTGAGTAAAGTTTTAAGTTTTATATTATTACTTGAGTAGTTATTGAGTTAGACGTGATTAGGATAATCCGCCCGAGTTATTGAAGAACTAAATTAAGTAAACCCTAGGGATTCTGATCATAAATTCGTGATATAGACAGAATAAATAGATCATACAACATTTGAAGATTTTTAGCTTACTCAAGAGTAACAATCTCAGTTCTACAAAACAATAGTCGATTACCGCATTGCAAATCCTAAGCTACAGCGTCTGACTCTTATGGCTCTGCTGAAAGTAAGTTATATATGGTAAGACACGGTAACTGTTCTTCTTGTCTGGAACTTAAAAAAAATCTTCTGTTAACGGTGACAAATTGCTCAGATGAATACCTTTTCCTGCTGCATATATTTGGAGGATAGGAACGTAAAATCGACAGTTTGAAATCATGGACAAGTCATTAGATCTGTTTAAGACTGTACTTTATGATCATGTAGTAAGTACTTTTATTGAATACATCGTACATCATGTCCATCAATATATGTCTGGAGAAGTTTAAACGTGGCCCACTAGCAGAAGGTGTTATTTATGATCTTTACATGTACTGAAGAAGTGGATTCATTTTTGTTGTTATTGCTGTTATTTCTTATGCTTACTTGTCTGACCGCAACATCAGTCCAAGCCCACGAAATTCCTCTTGGCAAAGAGCACTCAAGATACGCCTGTCGTTGACAACAGCCTTGAGCATCTTACAGGTGACAGTGCGATTTTGCTCAGTTCCGCCCCCAATTTTGATGGAGGGCACCCTGAGGAGACGGGTCTGAGGTTCTCTCACTTCTCTACCCTACCACCAAACCACACGAGAGGACTTGAGGCTCGCCGCATATTTAGAGTGCCTCCATGCCACAACATTTACAAACATCCATGCTTTCTCCGAAATTCGAACCCGGACCCTTCAGCACGGCAGTCATAGACGCTAAGGTTCATTTCTAATTGACAATATGCTATATCTCTTTCATCCGAGTCACTCTTTCAAGTATAGTTCAAAGGACAAACTAAATTCTAAGCACACAATGTCCTCTCATGTCTCAGATTTTAAATCCTTTGAATCCCATTAGGATTTTGTTCAGAAAATATCAGATGCAGATATTCCGGACCGATGTTTTAAATACAAGTCTGGATAATATCCAACAGGCACGTGGTTTGCAATATTTTCAGGAGGATATTTCGGAGCATGCAGGTTACCTTCGTGCCAGAAGAGAACTGTTCTATTATTAGGAAGGTGTGTCTAAAGGTTTAATCATTCAATGCGTATTTTAAATGAATAGCGAAATAATAAAATTGATTGGTTTAAGGGTAGATAAAAAACTGAAGCAATTATTAAGTCAATAAATAACTAATACAATATTAAAAAAATCTGATGTGTACACCACATGACTTCCTTGTACAGAATATTAAATTATACGCATTTTTTCTTGCATTTCGTTTAAACTTATTGGATTTAATTCTATTTGTAGTTTAATTCTATTCTATTCCATAGCGACACTCTGGCGCTAGGTTCACTTAACAGTATTATATTTCGTTCATATTATAACTCAGAATGCACAAAATTTATATAATTTAAAGAATTATCTAATCGTTGCCACATGGTCTATTCAAATACTATAATAAAGCTAGAACGATGTATAAAAGAAATTAAGCAAACAAAATAAAAAAGAAACAGTTTTTCACAGACGAAGTCAAAAATACATAAAAACTCAAAATATCTGTATTAAAAATTACTAATTATTAAAAATTAAATTACTAATTATTAAAAATTAAGTAAATCTTAAACACTTATTTCCTCGAAAAAAATTCCAGAAAGGATTAAGCATGATTTAATTCGCAATAATAAATGAAAGCGTTACCTTTGTTGTTGCGAAGCTACGTTTCTCTAGATTGGCAACAAATCCACTACTCCGCTGTTTCAAATGTAAACAAGCAATGGCCGCCATAAAAAAAAATATTAGGCTTAGCGGCACTTAAACAACTTTAAAATTGTTGATAATCCTAAAAATATTGCATACAGATTTACTAAAGGCATAAAAACCTTAACCGGAAAATAAGAACAACATAATTCAGTCATTTTTAAAGCAAAAAATGTACAATTTACAAACATATAAGAGTAAAGAAACTGAGATCACTGAGCCGGGGTAAGAGAGTGAATATATATATAAATATATTTATATACGTTTGGCGCGACCGATTGCAACCAAAATACGAGGTGCACATCTACATGTTATAGTAGTCCTATATACAAAATTTTAGCGTTCTGAGGCTACTCGTTTTTGAGTTATGCGAGATACGTACGTACGTACGTACATACGTTCGTACAGACGCCACGAAAAATTCTCTTCACAATTCATTTTAAAGCAGTTTTATACATTTTTTGGAGGAAAAGAGTCTTTTATTCTGTTCTTACGTACAGATATCACGCAAAAACATCGTTAAATTGCATTCGAAAGCGGTCAAAATGGATATTATCGTTGAAATATGCTGCCTGAAACTTTTCGCGATTACAATACTTCCTGTTTACTTCGTACAAGGAAGTAAAAACTGTATTGAAAATTTTTAATTTTGAGCGTAAGCAATGTAGACAAGGCTAAATCTCTACATATAATAAAGGTAAGAGTCTGTCTGTGCGTGTCAGTGTGTGTGTCTTTCGTTTGGGCTGCGCGTAAGCTAAGGCTGTGTTGAGACGGGGGCGTAAAGGGCATAAGTGGTTAAAGCCGAGCTGCGTTGCCAAGGCAACCAGTCTGTGCTACGTCACATAATCTGGTTCATGGACCTTATAAGAAATAGACCAACCCAAGTGGCTTTTCTCCCTCTTCTGACGCATTCCCGGTTGTCACCTTCATCACATCTGGAGAAGTAGGGACGACTTGCGGAAACTTACAATTGTTGACTATTCCAGTGAGTATAATTGTCAAGAAAAAATTGGTTGTAGCGCCTCATTTCACAAACTAGAATTTCTACATATTTTTATTTTTGAAACTCAGATCAATTTAAAAAAAAATTAGCATATTTATCAAGCATAATTAACGTTCCAAATAATTATAAAGTTGTTGCATGCTTTTAGGGCTGGATATTTTTTTAGCTTTTTTTATGCTATAAGGAAATTTGTAACTACTTCTTTTAGAAAATAATAATTTAAATCTGAACTAAGAGAAAATTTCAAATAAGCAATTTTCTCTTGCAATTTTTATGCTTTTTATTGGCATAAATAAGTAAAAAATGCTAAAGTATTTTAAAACGAATTTTTAAAAGTTTTATTTAAAATTCTAAATTGTGCTGCTTTTTTAAAATTATAGATGAGTATTGTAGCGCATTTTCTATAAAGTAATTTTATTTCAATTATATTTCATAATGCATCATAGTGATAAACACTTTTGACTCCTTAATAATTTTTATACATTTAATTCTAATATTAAAATTGTATTTTAACCGTAATAATTAATTTGGTTGTATTTTATAGTGATTATTTTTTAATTTATTTTTAGTTCTGCATAAGATTTTTTTTTTTTATTTACTGTTAATTTAATTTATTAGCCCAAAGGGGCAGTAGCCTAGAAAGGCTGCTAGTTTCAAAGGGGCATTTTGCGCTGTTTCACTTTAAATGTCCGTGTCTCCTTGCAAATTGTTGTTACCAAATATTATCGCCCGGTATTGTATTTAAAGAAATTAAATAATGAAGAACCTGCATGAATACATGCATGTTTCTCGCACTGTGACAAAAACGACGATATCTAGAACTTTCAAATTTTGAATACCGTAATCCTCCACCCGAACATGGGCATCTGGACGGTCGAATTTGTTTTCATCTATTTCGTATTTTGTAAACCTTTATCGAATTTTTAATATAGGAAACACACAAAACGTTAAAAAAGGTCCTTTTTGGGCGTAAAATAAAAATTTTTTTTAAATGAAGCTTCCGAGTACACTTCTCATATCTCACATCTTTAAAAATATGATTTTGGCAACAATTTTCCTTTCTTATTGTTGTTGATAGATTTTTGATGAAATCCCATCATTTTGAATAGTTTCATTCTTTTAGAAATATGGGTTTGGCAACAGGTTTTCATCGTACTTCTTATGTCACTGTTTTTAAGAGATTGGCATATTTCATTGTCATTATTTTACATATATAATACCTTTTTAATAGAAATAAACTGGAGATCCACACTTTTTATACTTCTTTTAACTGAATGTTTCAAAATGCGACCATATGCATTTTCTTGTTTTAAATGTCCTCTATGAACTTCAAATTACATGCTGTGTTTTCTTAATTTCTTTTAATATATTGCTGAATTTTTTGCTCATTTTTTGCTCCAAGTGTTCTTTTATATGTGCCATATAAATTTTCTCATTTATACGTCGATGATAAACACAAGAAAAATAAAATATTATAGAAAAGAATTTAAACTTAGATTTTTTTTTTTTTTAATTTACACTTATTCTTTTGAAGCAATAAGCATATCTTTCAAAAACAAATATAAGCGTTGATAACAATATTCCTACACCGAATAATACAAACGCTCCTATAAGATCATTAATCTCTAAAGCCTTTGTTACTGAAGAGGTTTGTTGAGTGCAAATCTGATATTCCATTAATGAAGATAAAAACGTCCTGTGTGCTAAATCGGCCTCAGTGAACCACAAGAGCCTGAAAGAAAGCAGTAATGATACTAATTAGACAATGTTTAATGTGATATAACTTATAAATGCAATGGTATTTTTCTTTCTTACTAATAGAAACAGAAATATTAATTGAATGAGGTATATTACAGTGAAGTTTGCTTATTGCGTAGTCTTATAGAACAAGCATACTACATTTGCAGGTTCGAAAAATAAAGAAATTAAGAAAAAGCAAATTTAGCTTTTTAAGATGAACAGTTGTCTCCATGCCGAATGTCATCGAGTTCAAACTTTACTCAAGACAATATTTTAATACAACGCTTAAAAGGAAAGGTAGCTTGTAATATTTCATAGAATTCTGTCGATAGACTATGACAGTAATATCAAGCTCAAACTGCGTACGGGAAGAATGCACGATCTGGAAACAGCTGACGGGAAAAATTTTTTTAAAACAAAATGAAAATATTTTTCGCAAAATAAAAAATACATATTTTAAATAAATTTTAAGTTTCGCTTACTAAATATTTATCAAAGCATCCATAAATAATAATAATAATATAGCAAAGAAAAAAAAAACCAAATTTTATTAATTTTATATCTAAAATTAATTTTTGTATCTGTAAAACTTTTTGTTTTATTCTTCGTATTCAAATATACACTCTTAGACATATATATATATATATATATATACAATTTTACATTTTGGCTGCCAATGAATGAACGGTTGTCGCTACAGCGCATCTGATCTGTGCAACCGGCCGGATATTTAAGAGGAGAAATAACGATTCTAGGTCACATATTCTTTACGAATTTCATTCCGTATACTCTGGTAGACAGTAACTATGCCTCGCATACATTGAGAGAGGTCGTGTAGTGGGCTCAAAGAAGCCGGTTGGTCTTATCGGCGAATAGCTCGACATTAGAGCAGGAGCGATGCCATTATTAGACGATGTTGGTAGGAATGGGTGAACCATGGCCGCACACAGCGTCAAGAAGGAAGCGGTAGGCCTAGAGAAACGACAGAACGTGAAGACCAAGCAATCGTCAGAGCGGCACTCACAGCCCCAGATGCATGTACGTACAACTAGTGCTTCAGTGACCGCAAGGACCTTTCATAGACGGCTCACAGAAAGGGAGTTGGGGTCACGGCGCCCCTTGCGCCGACTACCATTGACCTCTGTATAACGTCAAGCCCATTTGCAATGGTGTCGGCCTCATTCGCACTGGAATGTCACTGACTGGAGTAGAATAGTCTTGAATGATGAGTACCGCTTTGAACTGAGCTCCGATGACCAGCGGAGGTGAGTCTGGAGACGCCCCGGACAGCGGTGAGATACCAACCTGTCTTCCGGCAGACAGGCCGAGAACCAAAAGTGACGGTCTAGGGTGCCATTTCATTTCATAGTAGGACTCCTTTGGTTGTCATCCGTCGCAACCTTACAGCACAGCGGTACGTCGACGAAGTTCTAAGGCCCGTTGTGTTGCCCTTCATGTCACGCCACTCTGGGGTTACATTTCAGCAAGATAATGCCCGCCCCCACACTGAACATGTTTCTACTGCTTGCCTTAGTGCTTGTCGAACATTACCTTGGCCAGCAAGGTCGCCGGATCTCTCTCCTATTGAGCACTTTGGAGCATTATGGGCATGGCCCTCCAACCAGCTCGGGATGTTGACTCTCTAACGCGCCAGTTGGACAAAATGTGGCACGATGTCCGTCAGGAGGACATCCGCAACTTCGATCAATCGATGCCAAGCCGAATAACTGCTTGCATAAGGGCCAGAGGGGGACAAACGCGTTAGTGACTTTTTCTACTTTGTGAAGCTCTATCACTTCAATAAATCATCTAGTTTTTCTCAAACTGTAATCATTGGTTTTTCTCTACATGTACATCACTTCTACCGATTTTCGTCCCATTCGGATAACTCCTTCTTGGTGCGCCGTTTTTTTTTTTTTTTTTTTTTTTTTTTTGTCTAAGAGTGTATTTAATAAATGTCTGAAGGTTTAATGTTTACCTGTCAAATATAATGATAGATAAATATTGAATTTTCAAACTGACATTTATTTCAAACAATACTAGCATGCTTAACACTCCGTCGGGAGCAATTCGGAGGCATAGTGAGTGAATTATTTTAAGTTTAAATGATTTAAACTAAAATAAACAAATTATGAAAACTTTCTAAGTTTCACAGAAAAATTTCCAGGAGGGATAAAACTTGGGAATAAAGATTTACATCATGTTGTAAATTAATTAGCTACATTTATAGATGTTCTGGTGCATTATTCTGATTCGTTTTTATCAGAAATGAAAATAATACAAACTCGAAGTTCAAATAAATAAAATCTACAAATCTCTTCAACAAAAGCATAATTGAAATGTCAACATGCAACACACAACGCGATGCAAAGCGCATCTAAAGAGCGAAGCTCACATGGCGATATCTCAATACTCCGTAGTCGACTCTTGAGCTGAGAAACTGAGAGCAGATGCTTTTTCCGATTTTATGCAGTTTTCGCCCGGGCGCCGAGAATTCCGCTTCTGGAAATTACTAGAAAATAGTAAAATTTACATATAAGGGAGGTGTGCGGTTACAGTTACATAAAAGGATCAATTACCGCGCCAATTTCAGTTACATAGCGACCGGCCAAAAGTGTTGCCAAATTTGGTGTCCTTTGGCGATTTATTGACAAATTCGCCAACAAAAATTAGTCGCCAAAACCTTCGCCAACTTTGCGATTTCTCCATTTACGTCAATGTTAAATACTCCTTTAATCTTATTTTATACCACAGCTTCGTCTATTATGGCGTCAAAAATATTACTTCACATATTAAAATTTCACTAAAATTATTTAAATATATACAAAATTTGTAACAATATGATACTTCAATTAAAATTCATATTTTAAAACAAATATCAACTCAAAGCCGCATTCATCTTCTCAATTATTTTGGCATTATTTATTATATATCCTGAAATATGTATGGTAAAATTTTGTCTGTTCAGGCTATGTTAAGTAGTATCTAGAACACGGATCGCTAAGATTTCGATCGTGAGCTACCAGGTTTAGGTCACTTAAGGGTTTTTCCATTTAAGTATTTTTCTTTTTCACTATCATTTTCGTATTAAAAACCAATATAATAAATATATGATTATATGACGAATTCAAATCATAATTTGCAAGCAAGTCACACGAGGAATAACGCTGTAGCAATAAATTGCCTTAACACTAAAACTCTTCCGCTGCATTTGAAATTAAACAAATTATTGTTTAACTCATGAAATCGTCAAAATGCTTTAAACAGGTGGGCAGTAGTAACATGTACAATATTCTAAAATTAAATAATTTGAAATTTTAGAATTTGTTAGAATTGTTTATTTAGCAATAGTCGTATGAATATATAAAAACACAGCATAACATTATTTATGCTGCAGTGTTGTGTAAACTTTTTTATGGAAATAAGTTTATAAGTTATTTCTCCCGCCTTCTTAGCATGCCTTCGTAGTGTGGTGGTCTACACGCTGGGCGCGTATTCCATAGGTCCATGGTTCGATTCCCGCAGAAGGCGTTGCTCATCTTTCGTGTTTCCTGTTTCCAAAAAATACCTAATGTCCCTACAGTGGCGCTCGTACTAAAAGGGTGGTGGATGATGATTCTCTATATCCAGGATTTGGCGATTGGGTCCCCTAAAGAAAGCAGTCCCCTTTTAAAAGGGGGGTGTATATAAGGTATTTCTCACGCCTTGTTGCCGTGCCTTCGTAGTGTGGTGGTCTGCACGCTGAGCGCGTATTCGAGATGACCGTGGTTCGATTCCCGTCGAGGGCGTTGCTCATTTTTCATCTCTCCTGCTTCCAAAAAATACCTAATGTCTCTACAAGTTGAGCAAAAATTTTAAGCCGAGAGCATCTTAACGAGCAGAAAATCAAGCAATCCTGTTTTTAGATGAATCACGATTTCATTTCCGGTACTTTTGTCTTAATGAAAAAGGTTGTGTCGATTGGCCATTTCTTTACCTGTAACTGTAGTTATATAGTGAATAAAAAGGATCAAAGTCGAAAAGGCAGATCAGGTTACGTCAGGTACAGTGCACACCCAATGTTTGACCATAGGTCATGTACACAATATAGCACCCTGAAAAGGCACTGTATAAAAAACGCACTAAAATTTTTTTTTGTAAGCTTTGTCTTTTTACAACTAGCTTAAACAAACCGCAATGAAATCATTTCACGAAAGGTAATTTAACAGCTTTCTAAAAAATAGCTGTATTAATGAAGAATCATTTACAACGGATCTAGTATTGAAAGTTTCTTTAAAAGTGCATAGGGAGACGCTTAAGATTTTCTCAAGATGCCATTTTTTTAACAGATTACTCAAGCGTTCTCTGTGTTAACATTCGCTTGACTGAGATAACCTCTAAACTGTTTATATGAGAGCATTAACTTTCGCTCTCTCGCTATGCCTGGAATTCTAAGAACAAAATTATAAAAGCTTATAAACCAAATTTATTTCGTTCTTTGAAAGTCATTATTTACGCATATCATCCCTGGACTTACGTCAATTGAAATCTGAACTTCAGAAACATCGAGCAGTGACCTTGCTATCGTCAAATAAAGGCGTCAGTGTTTTTTCAAGGTCTAATGTGTTATTTTTTTACCCTTGATATTATTAAAAGAATGAAAGAAGCCAATTACGTTATCGTTGAAAAGCATGCTTTTTCTAGGAACCATCCGTCATCATAGGGCAAGGCGGGAGACAAGGGTGCTACCAAAAGTGACAGGGATGCAGTTAAATTTATTCTTCTTACTGTAGATAGGAGCATATTCGCTCCTTATTTGGACAACAGTCTTCTTTTTTAACTCTGCTTTATATTTGTTTGTCAGTTATTTATGAACGAAAACTTCGGGCCAAGAGATTATAAATGCAAATTAATGAATGATTATTTGCGAGAGACTAAGACCTACGACAGCATGACTCATTAAGGAAACTTAAATACTCGCATATCAAATGTAATCAGTTCCATGCTAATATT